AACCCCCTCTTCCTCGTTGTTCGCCATGTCGTCAACAATGACTTCAGTTGCTTCTTCTTCTTCATCAATGACATTGACTTTAGCGTGTTCCTCATCAGATTCGTAAAAAACTTGAGACGAATCAAGTTGTTGAAACAGTTGTTGTTGTTGTAACGTAACATATAGCACAATTTCTGAGAAACCAAAATACTCATGACTGTGGAACATGCTACGCACATCTTCATCGTCTCGAATCTTTAATGGGAAAATTTTGCATTCACTGTGCCCCCCAAAGAACACTGGATTTTTGTATATTATTCGGCCAACTGGACCACATTGCAGTTTTTTTTCTAATCTTAACTTCAAATGTAAAAAATTTGACCTTCTGTCAATCAAAAATCTCGTAACAACAGTATTTATGAAATTGTAACCGGCTATGTTACATTCAAAAACCTCATCGTTTAGATGTGCACTAATCATGTATTGTGGTATTTGAGACATAGCTAATGTTTTAGTAAAATTGTGTTTGGAGGGATTGTTTTACTAATTGATATGATAATAACTCAGATCTCTCTACTGTATTAATAGCAATAAAGTGAGTTGCATGACAAGATAACACTTTGCGTGCCTACAAAGTGAGCTGCATGACAAGACAACACTTTGCGTGCCTACAAAGTGAGTTGCATGACAAGACGTCTACACTCTGATTCTATGTAGGCCTAAGAGATTCTCTGCATGTCTAACGTCTACACTCTGATTCTATGCAGGCCTACGAGATTTCCTGCATGCCTAACGTCTACACTCTAATTATATGTATTTAATTTATATATAAATTAGATGCATTAATTGTTCAATAAATTAATGTATTTAATTTATAATGTAAAACGGAAGGATTATATGTTCAGAGGATTCTCTTTTGTATATAAATTAGCCTAGATATATGACAACACTATGCATGCATGGCAATACCACAACATGCACTTCCAAGACAAGACTAGACTTGCACGCCTCCCTTCATCCATGTCACATGCATGCATGACAACACCACAACATGCACTTCCAAGACAAGACTAAACCTGCACACCTCACATGCATGCTTGACACTTGCTCTGCATGTACGAGAACACCACAACATGCACTTCCAAGACAAGACTAAACCTGCACGCCTCACATGCATGCTTGACACTTGCTCTGCATGCATTTCCAGGTCACGTGCATGCTTGACACTTGCTTTGCATGCACGACAATACCACACTACTCTCATAGCATTCAAGGATTATAAATAGAGGTTCACCCACTCTCAAACTCTTCTCATCCCAACAAACTCTTCTCATCCTCATCCCAGCAAACTCTTCTCATCCTCATACGTTCTACAAATTCTTCACCCAACAAATTCTTAACCCACAATATCTCTACTCACAATGGGCAACTCTCATAGAGGAACAGTTGAGAACATCGCAGAGTTTGTAAGTATTTTTCTTTTTGTTGTCTATGTTTACGAAGTTTAATTCTCCTTTAAAACTAATGGCATTTAAATTCTTTTGCAGGATGCATCAACGTTTCGTTGTCGTGTGCATGACTATATACCATACGACCCTTTAATAGAGGGATACCTTGAAGCATGTGGGTTCGGTGATTTTATTAAAATCAAATTGTACTTACTAGATGCCAAGTTTATTCTAGCGTTGATAGAACGCTGGAGACCAGAGACACACACATTTCACTTAACTTTCGATGAGTGTATTGTAACTCTTCAGGATGTTTACATGTTGCTTGGCCTACACATCAACGGTAAGGCCGTCAACGGAAAAGTTGGTGTTAACAACCAACTTTGCGAAGATTTACTGGGCACCCCTCTTTGTATGGACACAACTCAACCAGAACGTGAGGGTCGACCAAGGGGCAAGGTATTAATCTAAAATACCTCAGACAACACTACAATAGTATTGTCTTAATTGAGGAGTCCACCGAGTATGAGAAAATACTCAAAACTCGGTGCTATATTATGATTTTATTTGGCCATTTTTTATTTCCAGACAGTACTGGAAATAATGTAAATATTATGTATTTACCGTTATTGCATAACATAAACAAAGTGTGCAAATATAGTTGGGGATCAGCTGTCCTTTCCCATCTATATAGTGCGCTATGTAAAAATGCAAAAAAAAAAAATTCTTGTACTTTTTATGGCTGCACCTATCTCCTTCAAGCGTGGGGTTGGTCTAGGATGCCAACACTTGCTCCAGTCAACCGCAATCCATTTACATTCCCATATGCTAACAAGTAAGTTTATTTTCAAGACGGATTTACAACCAAAGTTTCTTTGTAACTTAATTATTTGTACGATGTGTCTTAGTGTGTAATTTATTTGTATTTCTTTTTTTTAGGTGGTCGGTTCCGGGGATGAATTACCAAAGATGTCCCAGGAACTCCATAGTCGTGTACCGCAACCTTATCGAACACATTGGGCCAAATGATGTAATTTATCTACCTTTATTTATCTAATTTATAAACACAAACTTGAATTTCTCATTGCGTATATTGTTATTGTAGTTTGTCTGGATGTCATACGAGGGTCTCGACCACCAGCCCAACGCCGATGATGTTGCCGTGTGGACATCCAAAACACCCATCATTAAGTTCACTACAGTGGAGATGCACCAAAGTGACCGGGTGAAACTACAATTTGGGATGCATCAGGATATTCCAGATGCTCCGACGTCATTGGGACACTGGCATCAGCTACGGGTGGATTCACAATGGAGTGTTGGTCATTGGAAGGAATTTGCGAAAGAGATGTGTCAGCATTGGAAGAACAGACGTCAACACATCTTAACCGACCTTATTGTGGAAGGGGCTAGGCCAAGTTATGAATATATGATTTGGTTTAGGTCGGTTACAACATCACAACCTTTTCTGTCTGAGCCGACATATTTGATTGACCCGAGACAACGTGCGTCTTCCTCGAATCCACATCAACAACCAAATGCCCAACATCAACAACAACAGCCTTACCATAACCCATACATGCCACCAAATACCCAACATCAACAACAACAGCCTTACCATAACCCATACATGCCACCAACCCAATCACAACAACAACATCCTTACCCATATAGCCTTGATACATCTTTTGACCCTACCCTCTCCACATATAGTCCAGATAACTCTTTTGACCCTACCCCTTCCACCTATAGTCAAGATAACTCTTTTGACCCTACCCATTCCACCTATCCACTTTTTGAATACCAAACCCCACAACAACCAATACATTGTTTCCAAATCGATTTGATGTACTAATTCGGACAACCACATCGTCCATACTCCACCCAACCTCCCCGACAATCCTACGAACACATGGGCATTGGGCTTAATTACGAAAACGCCATTGATAGTGGCCCTCCCGACTATTGGGGTCAAATGCTTCAAAATTTATCTGATACGCCGGGGCCATCCGAACAAATACCTCTTCCACAAGTCAACACCCAAATACCGGACACACCTCAACAACCTCGTGGTAGACCTCGTCGCCGCGCGCATCCTCCACAATGTGGTATCGGTTGTCGTTTAGATAGAGCAGGCCGTTAATTTTTTTTTTTATCAATTGTAATTTATATTCTATTATAAATTAATATATTTTACTATTTCTTTCATTTATATATATTTTAGATTATTTAAATTTCAAATATTATTTTAATTATGTTATAAAAATAAAATTAAAAAAAAACAAAAAAAAACTTATAAAATAAAAAATAAAAAATAAAAACCCTTACGAAACAAAAAAAAAAACACAACAAACTGGTTCGCCATATTATTTGGCAAATCCTTTAAAATAAAAATTGAATTTTTGCACTCATTCGCCAGTCTATTTGGTGAATCTACTATTGCTTGCATGATTTCGTCAGCCCATTTAACGACTATTTGCTGAATTATAGCCATTTTGAAAAATATTTTCAAAACTTATTTTATTTAAAGTTTTTTTTAAAACATGGGTTAGTTTAAAAAAGATTCTACTTTATTATCTTTTGAAAGGGAAAGAAAGTGAAAGCTTCGGAAAATAAAAATTGAAGAAATGTAAATAAATGTACAAAAATTTGAAAGATTGCTTTTGTATAGAATATGTTAAATAAATCACTAACATATTTTTAATTTTTTTGAAATATTTTAACAATATAAATTATATTTAAAAACTTATCTAAATCCTTTAAACCTTCTTCCAATATAATTTGTTAGCTCTTCAAATTAAAAGAATTTTGTATTATGAATAAAAATAAACTTCTAAAAACCTTCACTTAAATTCTTAAATTCTTTTCGCTCAATCTTTCCTCTTTTTTTTTTTTTTGAAGTCCTTTCCTCCAAACTCTCAAACAAACTTTAAAAAACATTATCCCACCATGTACATTTCTTGCATGGAAAGGAAAATTGTGCATTTTCTTGTTTATGGTGTATTTGCCGAATTCAAAAGCAAATTAAGTATGTAAAATGGAATTAGTTTTAAAATAGCGAGGATTAACAGAGACTTGTTGTGAGGCTTTAATAAATATGAAGAGTTGTGTGCCTCAGACAATTCAACAAGCAGGAGGCAGGAACCAACATGATTATAATTGTGTTTTTCAGCCATTATTAAGACAACACTTTTCCAAGCTGTGTGGTTGCCGATTCACATTCACAAATTTCTAACATGTTCTGATGTGTAAAGTTCATATTCAAAGAATAAGAACTGTATAACTATCTGAGCAAACATGAATAAAAACCACATAGTCAATGACTTTTTAAGTTCACAATACCTACAGAAACCGATCAAAACTCGAGTATATACAACACTGCCAGTAAGTAACTGACAATGCATGTAAGGCAGCATTTGCAAAACAAAAACAAAAACAACTTGTTGATAAGTCTCATGAGTCATGTCATTGATATTAATTGAGAACCTCACATACCATTTTGTAACAACTAACAAGCGCTCCAAGGCAGCATACCATTTTGTAACAACTAACAAGCGCTCCAAGGCAGCATGCTCAGAGTGTGAGATTATCCATGTTCTTGGAGTTACTAGAGATTCTATGAACTGACCGCCCTTCCTCTTGCTCATCATATGGATTTGCTCGATAGTTGGATATTGCCTCTTCATTGTCTGAACAGCCTGGTCTTTCAGTAAGGAATTGTTCCCAAAACACGTCATTCACTCTACGTGGAGCAGCTGGCTTGACTTGACCGTTACCTGAAGCTTCCTGCGGTGAAGCTAAATTGATATCCTCATTAGCCACAATTCGGTTTAAGGAAACTCCATTTTCTGATTCTTTACCATTGGCGTTAACTATCGATTCCGCAAAATTGCCAATTTCTTGACAATCTATCTGGGGTGATCTGGCCGAGTATGAATTCCTGTTGAATTCCAATGGACAAGATGCCAGAGTTAAATTTAGTTGGCAGGATATATGACTATCACCTTCTTCACTACTTGGCTCCAGGGAGTGAAGATTTGGGCACTCAGTATTTGTTGCTCTTCGTGATAAACACGAATCCATATTAAAAGTAAAAGATGTCCCAGTATCTGCAAGCTCTAGTGTTTCAGGTGCAAAAGCAAGGCCAGTTCTTGTCTGCATTCCTTTCGGTTCTCCTTCAGACAGGTTCTTCTGCAGGCTTTCCTCGCCTTCATTTGAACCCTGTGTGCTACCTGATACCAAGTTCATATCCGAGACAGCTGGTGACAATTCCAGTCTGAGTTTGCTCGAGAAATCTTGATGGATAACATTTCCAAATTCCAGTCTAAAATTACTATGATTGTCAACCAAGCTACCTTCAGCAACAGGCTGCACGTGATCAACCTGAGGCAGTCGCCTTTTCTTATTATATGCCGCCAAATCCATGGATTCGATTTTGCGCAAAAGATGATCAACAAAAGAAGGATTCTGAAGAGCCTTCTCTAAAAAGTTCAGCAAATTTGTCTGCCTCTTCTCTATACCATCCAATCGATGGTGAAAATCTTCCATCTGAAGCTTTGCTGTTGATTGATGCTGTTTGTAGTTTAAGATATTGGATTCAAGAGCATTTTTCTCGCGCGACAGTTTATCGAGTTCCTCTGCAAATGCTGCCCTTTCAGGATCTACAACAGAAACCGGAGGATGACTATGACTGTGTATAGGTTTCCTGCGGTGTATATTCTTCAGAAGATGCTTTTGACCTTTTATAAATTCTTCATTAGCAAACTCCCAACGCTCAGGATGTACTTTCCGAAATCCCTGACAATAAACCACACATAAATAAACCATAACAAATTAAAACCTAACAATAGTTTTCCTAAGTGCAGGAAAATATCAGCAATACGAATAAATACATATAACAACTTTCTTTGAATGGGTTACCATTAAATCTTTAAAGGTATATTCTTTATTTCACACATAAAAACTTCGGGAAGAAAATCCAGCAGTTGGACTTAGTTTTCAATCATTACCATGAGTGCATGCTTTCAACTTTCCAACCATATCTAAAAAACATAGACATCAATTTTAACTAGTTCGATAAAAATTTACAAGGCAAGATGTTTGCCCTTTTTGTTTTCCTGGTGTCATCATATCAATAAATGAGTAAAGCAAAACACTAAGCACATAATAGGATGTGTCCACCATTGGTGTTGCTCAACCTTGAATCCTTTGCCATTTGTTTTGAGCATATAGTTAGAGACAACTTCTAATTGATCAATTTCTATTCACGACATATTCGTGAACTTATGTGGCACTCAGGGAATACATTTGTTGAATACTTTGGCATTAGTTTCAAGTCTAAGAATCACAATCTCATAACAACGATCATCATAATACAATTGGAATTCCGTGAAGACACAATCAAATCAAATAATACAGATAAAAAGACAATGGAATAAAGTAAAAAAACACAGTGAAAGGAATAATCAATCAATCAGAAAAAAATTGCAATGAAATGATCAAAGACGCGTATGTAACGAATTGGAGAATAAACAAGAAAGAGTTGACATACATAGGTGTTAAGCTGACGGATGAAGCTGGAGAAATTGCTGTGCTTGAAGTAGGTTGGGAGGAGAAGGCGAGCGAATTCGGTATTGTTCCAAACGACGAAGCTGCAGTGGTTAGAGCTCCAGGAGACGATCTCGTCTGTGGTTGAATCATCCACCATGTCATACGTCTTCTGAAGAAACGGCGCCGGACCTCCTCCATTTCCAGCAGCGGCGGATGAGGAGAGCGGAGCAGCATCCATTTCGTAACGGCGGTGAGAGAGAGGTTTGACTTGAAAGGTGTATGTATCTTGTTGCGTAGGCTGGTTCGTTGTTGGCGTTAGATAAGCAAACCAGCCCCAACCTAAAATCAACTAAGGATTATTTTATTTTTCTTCAAGACTTATCTATATTCAATGAAACAATTACAATTATATTCAATGCTGGGCCTATTTATAAAAGAATTTTTTTTTAGATTCGTTGAATAATATTTTTTCTTTTTAAAAAAGTTCATTTATTTTTATTAAAGATAGTGACATTTAATTAAAATTTATAGATTTCAAACAATTTGATTTTATTTTTTATAAATTATTATATTATTTTTAAATAAAACTATTGTTGATTTAATAGATAATGTATATTCTCAAATAAATATTTAGAGATTTATTTTCTTTGTTTTATTTATCAAAGATTTAAAAATCAGCGTAGGACAAACTCGTTTGTAATTTAAAAAAAATAGAAAATTATTTTTTAGGTTAATAAATAGCGTTTTGCTTCATGTCATATTGGTGACTTTCAATTTTAGATCTCCTTGGAGTTTGATTAAGCGAAAATGGATATATGACACTCTAACTAAACATTTTTTATAGATTAATAATTGAAATGTTTTGTTGGTGCAAAAAATTTTACACCATCAATTTGATATTTTAAATGTGATTAAAAAAAAATTAAACACATATAAAAATGGGTAATGTTAACTTGTCGTTCAAGAGTACAATTTAAAAGATAAATATAGTAAAAATTTATTGAAAATTATATTTTAAATTCAATAAAATTTATAATTAATAATTTTATTACTTTTTTAATATGAATTTTTTATTTGTGAATTTTTTTAACATGTGCTCTAAGAGCGTCTTTAGTAGGAGTATTTTAAGTGAATAAATTAAGATATTTTTTGTGGGTTCAAAGTGAATTGTAAGATTTAAAAAATTTATAGTTGTTTTCACTTTAATGATAGTTGCTTATAAAAAATTAAAATTTGATCCTATATTTTATATTTTTTAATTGTAATTATTTTTTAAAAAATATAAATAATAATATTATATATTTTAAAATAAATGTCATGTCATAATCATTCCAATGTAAATTCTTTATAATCATCTTTAACTTAAAAACCTACATTAAAGATGCTCTAAGGGCACAAGTGAGTATTATCTTATAAAAATTTAACGATTATAGTTAATTGATAGGGCAAAATATATGTCTATCAATTAAATTATTTTTCTTAATGTCAGCTAAATTGACATAATTTTATTTTTATTTTTTTACAATTATTTTTAATTTCAAGTGTTATTTTATTATTTTTCATTAATTTTAATCTTAACAATTAAGATACAAAATTAAATTACCATCTAGTCTACTATGGCTTTGATTTTTCAATTTTCAAACTAAATAGTATATATTAAAACATTATAATTTTTTTTTGACATATTAATAACTTTTGATACAATGTTTAAATAAAATTCATATGAACTTAAATTACATTTAGATATTATTCAAACATATTTAATAAAAAATTAATATTATTTTTTTGTAACTTCCAAAATAATATATATATGTTAATGCATTAAATTTATATTTAATAATATTCAAACATATTTAAATTTAAATAAAAAATTTCTAAAGTTAAAAAAAGTAAATTTTTAAATGGTACTTAAATATTCAAGAAATATTAATAAAAATATGATAGTTTTAATAATTTAAATATTTTTTAAGAATATCAGTCTTATCATTTATAATTTAATTTTGCTAAAATAATATATTAGATTTTTATCGTAAATTATTATTTTATATATTTTCTTAAGTAATATAATTTGTATTTATTCATTATATTGAATAATATTATTATAGTTAATATTTAAAGATTAAATAATATAAAAATGTAGTTAATTAAATGTATATTTATTATTATTATTATTTAATATTTTCTTTAAATTAAAATATAAAAAATGTTATGAAATAAAGGAGAATGAATCATTCCATAGTAAAATATCATATCATTGAATAATGAATTCTTCAATTGCTTTAAATTAAATTTAGGTTCATCCCTTCATAATATATTTGAAAATTATTAAAAGTAAATAAAAATTCATACAAATTAAAATTAAAATTATTAATCATTTTAAAATATTTAAAATTATAGAAAATTGAATATTCTTTAATGTATTTGAATGTTTTTAAAAAGGTTTGAATGTTATTTAAAAAAATGTTCAAATATTAAAAATAAATAAAAACAAGTTTACTTGTTGATATTTATAAAACATGTGAAATTAGTTAATAATAGCTTTGTAGCTCCGTTTATGGGTGAAAGAACGGGTCGTGACTCTTAAGGCTGATTCGCGCACCATTAAAAATGGATGGATTTGGTTGGAATTTTGTGTATGTCTATCGTTCAATTTATCCCGCCTTAAGTCCGTCAAAAATAATAATAATGTGGTTTTGCTTGCTAGCCTAATTATCAAGCATTCAAAATATTTATTTTGATTGGTTGAAGGTTAATATTTGAAATATTATTTTGGAGCTCTTCTCGATGATTCTATTTTTAGGTGAAATTTTTTTATGGTTTTAAACTTTTAGCTATCATTTTAGTTAATTCTAGTAATTTCAATTTTTGATGGCTTTATTTTATGTATTTATTTGTGAACATATGCCATATGTTTTTTAAGTAAAATTTGTTGAAAAGATACTTTATAAAAAAAATCTAAAATATAAGTGAAAAATTTAATTAAAATATAAAAATATATCTATTAAACAATTAAAAATAAAAATAAAAAATAAAATTATAGGTGTACAAGTCTGCCGCTTCTCATTACCTTGACGGACGAATTAGAATTTTAAGTCTAATTTTATTTGGCGGGTTTGCTCATCCAACCTCTTTTTTGACGGACTTAAGGCGGGATAGAGCGGACGGTTATTTTGCCAGCCTTACTTGGTATGTATGTTTGTAGAAAATTTTTTGTTTTGCCATTTAATTCTTTTAATATTATATATATATATATAATATAAAATTTGTTAAACTTAAAATAAATGAAAAATAAAATAAAATAATAAGTGGAATTTAAAATAATTTAAAATAAAAATAATAATATTACGTCAGTTGGCATTAAAAAAAACTCAATCAGGACACCACATATGTATTTTTACTTAATCAAATTCTAAAAGGATCTAAAACAACAAAATTTTCAAAAACACCACATATGTATTTTTACTTAATCAAATTCTGAAAGGATCTAAAACAACATAATCTTCTATATGATAGAGAAAAAGTGTTATTAACACTTTTTGTTTCTACATAAAAAGATATTATTATTACTTTTTGAAAATGTCCAAAGTGAGCTCAGTTACTTTATTTCTAGTACCTTGATAAGACCCATTTAAATCAAAGAGACAGATATTATTTGGGCTGTGTTCCCTACATTTTGAGATTGTGATCACACACCCATGTAAATCTTAAAAGATCTATCTTACACTTTAGATTTCAATATTTGTAAATGTCTATTCTTCAGTTAAATCACTTCATGACTAAGGCATTTTATTTTTGTCACAAAATTAGTATGAATTTCAATTTCTGTATCATAGGTCCGAATTTAAATATTTAGATTTATCTTTTGACAATGTTTTTTATCTTTTAGTAAGAAGTTAGATGAAATTTGACATTTTTTTATAAGGGTTAAATATGTTTTTTATCCTTATAAAACTAATAAATTTTGTTTTCGGTCCCTATAAAAAAATAGGGTGTTTTGATCTCTATAAAATAAGTATACATGTAATTTTAGTCTCTATTATTAAATCAATATGTATTTTTGAATGATTATTTTACAGATATGTTTAGAATGTTATAAAAAATTACTCAAAAAAAAAGTAACTCAAAATTTAATTTAAAAGTCAAGATTTTCATTACTTTTATTATTATTTCTTGAAATTTAAAAAATTTATATTTAATTCTTTTCATTTTAAAATATATATATAATTTAGTAAACAAACATTTTATAGTAATTTAAATACGTATGAAAAAATTATTAAAAAATTTAAAAATTCAAGAATAATTAAATAGTTTTTAAATTTTTAAAAAATAATAAAAATTAAAATTTATGCATAAAATTTTTGTAGAGACTAAAATATCTTTTTTTTATAGGAACTAAAAATGAAATATAAAATATATCATTTTTAGTACTTATTAAATAAATACCTTAGCTTAATTGGTAAGAGAGAATGAAAATAGCACCAGATCCTATGTCCGATTTCTTGCGAAGCATAGAGGTTGTTATTTTTTGGTTTTGTTTTTTCTATTAGAAATAATTCCTTCTTTTTGGTTATTTGATTTTTTTGTTATTAACAAATAAAAATAATTTTTTCATTAAATCATAATACCAAATTAATATTTAATTTTAAAGTTAAATATAGTTTTAATTTTAACTCTTACCTTACATTAAAATATAAAACACAAACATTTTATATAAATTAAAATTATATTTAATTCATAATTTTAATATAAATAAATAATTGAGAATTATTCATTTTGACCAAAATAGTATGAGAGTTACATCATGATTCGCCATAGATAGATTACATCTTGATCTATTTCAAAAGTCAATAAGTAAATATCTAAGCGCGATCTTAAAATTGTGTGTGTGTGTGTGTGTGTGTGTGTGTGTGTGTGTGTGTGTGTGCGCGTGCGCGTGCGTGCGCGTGCGTGCGTGCGTGCGCGCGCGTGTGTGTGGTGTGTGTGTGTGTGTGTGTGTGTGTGTGTGTGTGTGCGTGCGCGTGCGTGCGTGCGTGCGCGCGCGTGTGTGTGGTGGGTGTGTGTGTGTGTGTGTGTGTGTGTGTGTGTGTGTGTGTGTCAAAATATCAAATACAATATGTAACCAATCATAATAAATCCAAGTACAAGCCATAATTACAAAATCATCAAAATATATAAAATAAAATTCCACTACTAAGTATATCGAATGCTCATGTCCCTTTTATATCGTTGGTGCTGCAA